ATGTTATTTTATTTTATTAAAATTTAATTTAAATTTAAAAATTTATTTTATTAAATATTAATATCTAAATTTAAAAAGATATAATATAATAAGTTTCTAAATCTATATATAAAGGTAAAGTTTTAAATTTTGAATTAAATTTTTATTTTTAAATGTAAGAATCAACATTAAGAAGATGAATTTTTGAATTTTAAATTAAATTTAATATATAAAATGATATCGTTTAAAGTTTACATTCTTTTTTTTTTTTGAAAATTTGAATTAATATGCATTATCATTATTTTATAATATAAATTTGCTGAAAATAACTTAAAATTAAAAACACTTCTTCACCAAGTAAACTTTTTCCATTTTTGTTTCTTTTTCTTATGAAATATGTCGATTGGTTGAAACTCTTAATAGAATAGAGTGATGAAAAGGGGAATAAGGATTCAAACTCTAATCAACATCAGCATCTGCTCAGCCAGTTCTTCCGCACCCACCATCTTCAAATTAAAAAAAAAAAATTTCTGGTATTATGTATGGGCTAAAGTATGAGTCCCGTTGCCGTTGGTACCAGTTTTTGGACTTTGGTCTACAGCAAGCAGTGGCGGGGAAAGATTTGTGCATTAAAACTGCCTAAGGCTGTAATTTAGGAAACGAAACCAGAGTCCAAATTCATGCTTGGGCCCGAAAGCCCATTCTCTTAATCGCAGAAATTCTGAAACCGGACTATGTGCAGCCCAACTCAGATCCCTCATATTATTACGTTTGGAAACAAGCCCGATACTGTTACTTCTAAGCCCAGGTCATTAATTGAGACAAAAACCAAGAGTGGAAATTAAAATAAGTTGTTGGTGATTCATCTAATTTACCTTTTCTATAAACTTGTTATGTAATTTAGACTACTCCAAACCATACAATTAAAATACTTAGGTGGGCGGGGACCCTATTCTCTATCTCTCTTTTTTTGGTTATTAAAACTATTTTAAGAGTTTTTTTAATCTTCCTGTAAGAATTATTTAAATAAAACTTTTATATAAATGCTAAAATAATCTAAATAAAATTAAAAATAACAGATAAAAATTGAGATTATTTGCTTAGAATTAAAATATTAGAGTTGCAACACAAATTTGAAGTAACTAATAATACAATACAAAAATTAAAACAAAACATTTGAGATCGAGATAACTAAATCAAAACGTAAAACATTGTAACTAATTTCGATTAAAAAAAATGACAACTTTGCAATGGACCCATAGACAAGACACAAGGACTATGCATATTTCAGAGTCACCCTCCACACCAGGACCTGCTAATTGGGGGCGGCCGGTCAAAGTCTTACTCAATTACCTGAAGCAAATGGCCGAAAGAAATGAAGTCAAGAGTGTGGTGAGAATGATAGCTTTAAAGCAATTCAAGTGAAAGACAAATTTCAAGCATTATAAGAAACTCTGTAAAGAAAATATTGCCACAAAAAAATAAAGTAATTTATTGTGTCATTATAAAAAACTCTGCAGAGAAAAGTAGATGGGCTGATTGGGCAGTTCGACATAAGGGACCAGTTAATGAATTCCAAAGCAAACAGAGTAACGTACCAGAAGCAAAATGGTTAGATATAATGACTAGAAACAAAAGCAAAATCGTAAGATAAAGGAAGTGCAATCATAAAAAGAAATGAAGTATTACCGTTGCAGTACATCCTTACGTCCTCCCTTCCATATCATCACCTTGGACCAGATAAAACAGATGGAATCAATGTAGCTGTATCAGTTTGATGTCCGAGAGTTTCCACTTCAACCGGTGCTGGTGGGTTTGAGAAATTGTATTTGTTTTCATCATCCATTTTGCCTTCTAGGAAATTCACCACGATGGACATGGAAGGCCTCCTAGCATATTCAACTTGCAAACAACAGGCAGCAACTTTCATCATCTCCACAACCTCTGCCGCATGTGATTGCATCTCCTCATTGTACTTATCCACTAGATCCAGGAGTTCACCATCCTCAGTCATTCTCTTGAAAAGCCTTACTAAATGGGCATCCTCTTCGGGCAAGGATCGATCAACATTTTTTCTGCCACATAAAATTTCCAGAACAACAATGCCAAAGCTGTATACATCTACTTTTTCTGTGATTGTTGAGTTCAACCATTCTGGGGCCATATAACCTGGCGTTCCCCTCATTGTTGTCACAATTTGGCTTTGCTCTCTCCCTACTAGCTTAGACAACCCGAAATCAGAAACCATGGCGTTGAAATTTTCATCCAAGAGGATGTTTTGGGGTTTGATATCCAAGTGAACTATTTTCTGCTTGCATCCTTCATGGAGATATGTTAGCCCCTTGGCTATGTCTAGAATGATCTTCCTTCTACATTGCCAACCAAGAACAAGCAGTTTGTCTCTGCAGTAGATCCATTGATCCAATGACCCGTTACACATGTACTTATAAACCAAATGCATTTGAAGTTTCTCAGCACAAAACCCAACCAATCCTACTAAATTGAAATGGTGAATGCTTCCTATGGTCTCAACCTCAGCTATAAATGACTTCTTTCCGGGACCAAAACCATCCAAGCACTTTACTGCAACTTGAGTACCATCAGCTAATGTTCCTTGAAAAACACAACCAAATCCTCCCTCGCCAAGCTTGTTGCTGAAGTTATTGGTTATATCCTTTAACTCTTCATAAGCGAATCTCGTGGATGTTCCTGAGATGTGGCCCAGATAATCCTCCTCAGCATCCTTTGGATCCTCTTTAATTTGTAGCAAAAGGAAAGTGCAGATAAGAAGCACACTAAAAGTGGCCCTAAGAGTGGATCCAAGTATTACTCCTACATTCTGTCTCCTCTTTCTAACAGTTGAAGAACTCACCTTTAAAAACACAGATATATTGTAAAATGTATCCACTTCTCTCTTAAATGACAAAGCTTCATATCCAAGCGAGCAACAGCCAGATGATAAGTTAAAATCAAATCGAAAAGCT